AGTGGGTCTGGCCCACGAAAGCTCATCATCTAATAAACCATCTTGTTAGTCTTTAAAGTGCTACATAGCCCTGTATTTTGCTTCAGCTACACCAGACTAACACGGCTACATTTCTATCATCAGTAGTCTGGAAAGGTTGAGAACCACTGAATTATAGCATAATTTGTTGCAGAATAGCTACAAATCATTGGATAACATAGAATATACTGGATAATTAAAAAACCAGGTTTAATCTGGAAATTATGACTTGAAAAATGGAGGCATTGCCCCAAACAAATAGGAAACTTTAGGCACATGCTATCCCACTAAGGAGAGGGCTGAGATAGAGGGCCTCATACAGCATTCCATTGGAATCCCATTGATTTCAGAGGGACTCGGCATGATCATAGGAGTCTGCCTGTATCCGCTGATTGCAGTATCCAGGTTATCATAAAAAAGTGAACTTCTCTCTCTCTCTCTTTTGAATAACTATTCAGAATACATATTGTTTTACTAGTATTAAAAACCAATCCAAACTACATTTGCTAGTTAAAATGACATAGTAAATGGTGAATAACAAAACAAAATATGCTGCCACCATCAGCACATCAAGGTAGATTAAAAAAATTAAAAAGGGGGCAGACAATCCTGATAAGAATTTAGTTATCTGAAATGGTAAGAAATGACATTGATTGCAGCATGCTGACAGTATAGAAAAGGAACATATTTTACTCTCAAGTTGTGAGGCTTTTTCGCTTAACAGGCTTCCAAAACGAACAGCATAAATGTACTCTGTATTCCATTTTCTTTTTGTGTATAACAGAGGTAAAAATAGTGAGCTGTTACAACAGCCAGCCAGGAAGATAAATACATGTGCCTTAAATGCATGGAATGGGCTTCCTGAAAAAAAACCCCATTAATTTATTTAGGTTTTTACTCACATCCATTAAAAATACATGTATCCCTTGCTGAAGGAGCTCGTAGACCATGCAGAAGGTCATTCCTGCAACCTCCCTTCAACAGTTAATCAATATATCTGCAGCTACCAACAATAATACACCAACAAACAGCAAAAAACAAAACACAAAACTTGAAATCTTTAAAAATCTCAGGAGAACCTTTCTCTTCATTCATAGCTAGGGAAAACGTGTGCCTTTCAGCATGTCTTGCAGCTAGTTAAACAAACTGGGGATATGTTTACACTACAAAATGAGGTTGACTTAAGTTATGTTGATGTATAGCAACTGCAGAAGTTAAATGGCTTTTGCATGTCCACAATATGTTCCTCATGTTGGCAGTGTGGGCCCTCACTTGAAAGTACTTGCGCTGATTTATCAGTCAGTTTGAGGAACTGTGGTATGGCCTCTGAAAGGCAGCAAATGTCAATGTAAGCAATGCAGTGACAGTGCTGTCACTGCATCAACCTAATTATATTGACCTAAGCACTGTGCCTCTTGCAAAGGTGAAGTTAATAAAATGACCTAGGGGACGAGTTACGTCAATGGGAGCAACATTTTAGTGTAGATGCTTATGAAGATGCGACGAGCAGCTTACATCAACTTAACTTAATTCTGTAGTGTGGGCCAGTGCTAGGGCTATTATGGCTCCTCCCAAGCCAAGACATGACCTGCAAACAGCACGTCTAAGGTGTTACCTTGAATATATGTCAGGGTGGGCAATAAAACAGCGGCGGTTCCCCAGGGTTAGCCCCCCGGTGGGCTGCCACCACTATATTTACCTGCGCTTCTGCAAGTATGGGCAATTGCTGCTCCCCTTGGCCACGGATCACAGTTCCTAGCCAATGGAAGAGGCGGGAAGTGGTGCAGACTGGGACACTGTTTCCTGCAGCTCCCGTTGGCCAAGAACAGTGACCAGCAGCCAATAGGAGCTGCAATTGCCTATATCTGTGCAGGTAAATATAGGGTTTCCAGACATTTGTATTCTCATAGTAAGATGTGGGGTGAAAAAAGAGAACTGCCTTTCGGTAGTGTTTTCAGGGCTGTAGAAAGCGGGACAGCAAGTTGTTGTTGTTGTTGTTGTTATTGTTCAGCCATTCCCATCCTGTTGCCCTAGCAAGCAGAAGAGTCCATAGACCATTCTAGCTGCATTCTCTGCCGAATTGGTAGTGAAAATGATTTAGCATGAAAGACATTCATCTAATTGGCCTTTTCCCTAGGGAGGTTATCCTCACTGTTTGAGAAGTGAGGCCATCAGCATAGCACCATTGACTAATGGAGGCCTGGCAGTTGCCACGAGATGAGAATCTGGCTCTTCAAGTTTAAAGCTAAACAAACCATTTAGCTTTTACTTTTTTCCATTTAGAAATCAACAGCACCCAGAAGTATGATTTATCCATTCATGTGACATACTTAAACAATCCCATTTTTCTTTGCCCATATTGCCCAAGTCTTCATTCAGGCCCTCAGATCCTTGTGACTTGACTACAGGAAGCTCTTCCAGTCTGGCTACCTCCTTACAAGATCTTCTCCTTTTTCTTGACTAATGGCTCTATGTCGCCTCCCTCTTAGCAACCCTCCATTTACTCTGTTTGGAAAGGGGCTTCAAGTGTAAAAACATTTGTATTCAATTTAAGGTCCCTTTTCACTGCTAAAGCAGAGTAAAGAAGCCTTAATATAACTGATAATCAGGCTCTGTCATAACTTTTTCCTTTGGGGTTTTATATTATGGCTCTATCTCATTTAAGGATTTACCATCTACTGCCCTCATCATTGTAACACGTGAACATCTAACTAAAATATTACAGCACAAAACCCTGTGATCTTCAAACCTTTGGAAAACACTGGAATTTTCCTTTTTTATTCAGTTCCTCCTTTCTTCTTCAACTTTGTCATATCCTGGCTTTAAAGTATTTAACTGTACAAACGTAATGTGCTCTTGTGCCGTTTTTACAACAGAATGTGATTACGTGTCTAGCACCGTGAGTTTGCATGCCACTTAAAAAGAAACGAAATATGTTAAACATAGAATGAAATTGCCATCTTGGAACACTTACAATATAAAGACACAAAGTGGTATTCTGCACTTAGAAAACTAAGAGCGGCATATAGTCTGAACTTTCTTATTGGTGAGCTGTATAGCAGAGATGGATTTTTTTTAAGGATGAAGAAAAGTGCTTACATGAATCTGTATTATTCACTGTGGATGGGGCAGGAAACAAGACTCCAATACAGCAGTGGGAGAAGAAAGCTGTAAAGAGAGCAATTCCTTAAGCAATGGCACTACGAGGGCATAGATATGGGCAAGAATAGAGTTATGTGTGGTTTTGAAAACAAGGAGAATTTTTCCACCCCGAGGACAGGAGTGGAAAACCATTACAGGCTAATGTGGTTCTAGAAGGTTCAAATTGTGTGCAATTTCATAAAATAAAACATTACATTTCTGATTCTCACAGGCAGATGACAGTCTCAGAAATATTGTTCAGAGAATATTAGCATGAACACAGCTAATGTAATGCAATGGCAAATGTGTCACTCCTATGCCAAAGTGCTTGTCCTCTAGTAGAGGAGAACAGCTTGCTGAAGCTACCAGCCACACAGTTGCCCAAGCAGTAGTAGTCTCTTCCTGTAGTGCTGGAAGAGTGTTGGTTCAAATCCTACTTTTAACTCCTATGGTAGCTTGGTACACTAGAGCTGGAGAAAACTGAGCCAAGCAGCATAAGCCTTCATCTTTATCTGTGGTGGTAGTGGTATGGTCTTGCGGCATTGCAATTTTGCCACATCTCATGAATTTTCAACTGCAACTTAAGTTCCTTGTACAGTAAAGTGCCTTATACAAATACTGTATTTGCAGTGCAAACCCAAGAAATTATGATGAGTTCCAATATCTATTGAACCTATCAATGGCATTTCTGCAGTACCCATCACCATTAGGTTTTACATATTCCCAAGAAACAATCTGAAATTTCTGATGAAAAGAGTAAGTTGTTGTCAGAAAGTTATATTCTACAGAGCGTACAACTTACCTGCAAGAAGAAACAAAAGGTTATACACAGACTATATAAGTTTATGGGAATGGTACCTACGATCTATGTATATGAAGTGCAATTTTGATACTATTAGAGAAATCACTCTTCTAGGTGTTTTATATTGATCACTGGACTGCACAAGCAGTTTGGAAAGCTGAGTCGTAGCTGTAGTTACGTGTGGAAGGATTAGATTTTTCTTGGTAAATTTTAGTAAACATTGTTTTCTCTGTGCATGCAAACCAACAAAAATATTTCCAACTATCATAATAAAAAACTACAAACAGGTAAAGTAAGAAAAATGCTGCTTGAGAACTTATTAGAATTTGATGTAAAGATATTTACTTTTATATATTTTGATATATGATTGTGATGTCCTGTGTTTTTAATGGTTTGCCATTTCCAGCCAAGGGAAGCTGTGGGAATCGACGTCCTGGTCTGTGCCACTTCCCGCAGATCCCCTTGGGTGGAAACGTCGAACTGCAACCAATGGAAGTTGAAAAACTCAGTGACTGTAAAGCTTTAGAGTAAACAAAACTTAACAGGCCCACCAGGGGCTTTCCCTGGTGGGTCCGTGACCGTTACAGGCCCACCAGGGGCTGTCCCTGGTGGGTCCGTGACCAAAGTTTGAAAACTCCTCTTTTAAAGAAAATGGTTTATGCTGTTCTAGTCAGGAGTGGAGTATTATTTGATAAGCTGATTTATTATTTAATAAGGTAGATAACTGATTGTTAGTGCCCTTCATGAAGTTTATCCCCTTTTTGTAGGAACTCCAGTTAATTCCCCTGCATGGCAATAATACATTAGACTGGGGCTGCCTATTAATTTAAATACCTATTATTGTTCTGGCCCTGTCGTCACCCGCACAGCAACAGTAAAAAGGCTAACTTTTTTTATTTTAATACAAAATTCATGCCTTTGTACTTTTCTCAAGAGGGCTGTTACTGTTCTATTTTAAACTGTGCTGAATGATATATATGTTTTAGTGATTATGAGCTGGTCTCTTACATCTAACAGTGCTATTTCTCATTCCCATCAGGTATAAGTTTATCTATTCATGGGGCTGAAAAGCGTGTTCAAATCTATCAGAGGAGAAGTGCAGGAAGTCATCCATTGTCACATCGTCTGCCTGTGGTTAGGCATTCTTCACTCCCACAAGTCAGAAGGTCAATAAAAATGGAAGCTTCATCTTCTGGATCTAATATACCAGCAGTTACTAATGGAAAAACAAAAATCCATCATGCAGGTAACAAATACGGCTTGACAACACTTTTTAGCTTGGTCTATAGACTGGCATATGCTATGAATTTTGTATTCATAATATCAGCTCATGCTTGCATGGAAATCAATAGATTGATCCAAGGGTCAATAGATTGATGTTCATTCTGCTGATTTTTGGTATGCTTCTCCACAGCACTTGTGGGTTCTATTAGAGAAAGCAAGAGTTAGGTCAGCTGGCTCATTCATGGGGAATGGGAAATAACAAATCAAGTGTCCTTTTTTTGGGAAAAAAAACAATTACAATATTCCATATTAATGTCTAGCCACTGCCACTTACAGTGCTTAGAACTATTTTTTTATAATACAGGTGCATTTTATATTGGACTAACTTAAAAAACAACGAGCTAGATTCAATCCTCTGAATTCTGTATGTATCATTATGTTACTCAACCATCCAATTTCTTGATTTAATGATCAGACCATGTCATAAATCAGAGTATAGACTATAGTTTGATTCCTGTACCAGATTGGAAAAATCTCCAGGACCACAGGAGTAATTTACAGTGTGGATTAGCTATATAGTAAAATTAACCTTTTTATTTTTTTAAGAGGACATTGTCTCCCAGGCACCATAAAAACATAGCTGACATCTTGAATACACTCATTGTTAAGCAAATTTTCAGCACTACTTCTAACGTATTTTTTTCCTTATTCCAATGGAGTACATTTGGAGATGCCATGTTCAAACATGCTTTTGCAATGCAAATGAAACTTTAGATCTGAATGAATTTAAGATTATGTCTGAGAAATAATGTGGTTAGATTGTGTGGCTTACACAGTGCAGAATCTCACAGGACTTTCAGCTTTGCTGCACTTAAAAAGGTCATCACTGCACTATATAAATACTTAGGATTGATGTGGGAAATAAGGAAGTTCCACATGCAAATCTTATGTATGCTGCATTTATATAAGCTTGCACATTATTTACTAAATGCACTACATTTTTTTTATAAATTACAGTGAAGTTAAATATAAAATATGTGTTGAGATTTGCTATACAAGTTGTATTGGCTCGAATTTTGGATTACCATATTATTCACAACAGCACAAGTTATGCATATCTTACTAAAAATGTGCTCATTAAAATGTCGTAGCATTCCAATCAAGTGTGCGCATACATTTGTGCAGTAGCCAGAAGATTTCTGCCTTAGCATGGGGTCTGCCTGGGTGCCCCTCTAGAATGGTGCTGAAATGAGGCCCAAAATAGGGCCCTGCCGACCCACCCCATCTTCAGTTCCTTCTTACCACAACTGATGGTAGCTGGAACTTCCCTTTCCTTATCTCTTGCTTTGCAAGTAGATACAAGCTTTTTCATTCAGGCTACGTCTAAACTACACCTTTCTGTCGGCACAGGGATGTAAATTAGACGTATCGAAAGTGCAAATGAAGCCAGGATTTAAATATCCCAGCCTTCATTTGCATAATGGTGGCCGCCACTTTTTTTCAAAACGGGACTTTTAAAAAAAAAACCTGGTGGTTTAGATGGGGCATTTTGGACAGAAATGCCCCATTTTGACAGATTCTGTACTCCTCATTTTTTGAGGAGTACAAGATCTGTTGAAACGGGGCATTTCTGTCGAAAATGTCCCGTCTAACTTGCCGTTTGTTTTTTTTTAAAGCCCCGTTTTGAAAAAAAGTGGCGGCCACCATTATGCAAATGAAGCCTGGGATATTTAAATCCTAGCTTCATTTGCACTTTCGATACGTCTAATTTATATCTTTCTGCCGACAGAGGGGTGTAGTTTAGACGTAGCCTCAGTGTGTATAGTAGTAGACAGTTATCTTGATTGTAGTTAGCTTTTAGTTAGCAGTTAATTGAGTTAGGATGGGTTAGGGGTTCTTCCTCATATGCTCTCCAAGACATTATGGGGATTCCTCATTCCCCAGATTTCAAGGTTTGTCAGCCATGTGCTAAGCGCATGCTGAAGAGTGCTTCGGTGAGGGTCAAGAAAAAGTTCACTGCAAAATCTGCAGAGAGTTCAAATTGAGGATGATACGAGAGAAGGAGCAACAAGTCCGCTTTATATTCTCAGTCAGACCCAGGTGCCATGGAAATGCTCATAGCAACTCGTCCTCAGTCTGGAGTGCTCCAGAACCAGTTTCAAAGGAGACAGTGCCTAGGAAGGATGTGGGGAGGGACTGGCATTGACATGCCACCTCTTGGCACCACCCTCAATCACTGAGCCAGAGAAGATGAAAGGCCAAGGTTGGTCCCAAGACTTGAGACTCGCTGACTGCTTAGTGCCAGTGCCTCAGTCAGGCTGGGATGCCAAAATCCATTCGAAGGCCATGTTAACTCCTGCTCAACCCAGGCAGTCGAGTCCAGGCCAACACCATTCACTGGTGCCCTCACAGCACCTACTATGCCATCAATGCCAGAGGTAATTCATGCCACACAGGACTTAATACGTCTCATGGCACCATTTTCGCCACCTAAGCAGGACTCTGCACCAGCCGCTACAGCACCATCAAGACTTCTAGTGTAGTCTAAGGGAAGCTGGTGATGATGCCACTGAGGTCTCCCTCCCCACGTTAGACCAGAGACCACAGCGGGTTTCCTGCCTCCATTAGATTTGCATCAAGGAGCACAGCCCCCCTTGGTCTTCGTACGCCGAGTTGGAGTTGGGCTCCTATTGGTCAGCAGGCAGTCATTGTCCCAGCACTGAAGGAGGCCTCATCCTACGCAGTGGCCACCCGAGGGGAAGAATCCCCTGCAGTGGCTCTTTTGGATCTCCCTGGGGCTTCCCCTAGGCTCAGGAGAGGAGCCAGGATTCATGGTCCAGAGGGGCATCCACATTGTCCTTGACTTTCGTGCCACCACAGTCAGCAAAGCAGTGGTTGCAAGCTGTGGCCTCAGCACCAAGTATGGTACTGGTCCATACCACATCAGCACTAGAGTAGGTCACAGCCACAGCAGTTACTGGGGGCCTAGAAACTCAGATGACCCTGGTGCTGGTCCCAATGACAACACCAGCATTGGCCCCAGCACCAGCACCGATATCGGATTCACAAATGGCACCAGCACTGGCATTAGCACTGATGTCAACAATGGACTTCTGGTGCACTGAGGTTCCCGCGCTGACTGGGCAGTCTTAATTGGCACTGTCCAACTTACCTGCTCTGGCACCGATCCCTTTCTCACTTCTGGTTCTGCTACTTTATAGAGATCCTGTGGGAGGAGATGGGAGGGAGCTACCTCCTTTTGTTGCGTTGTCCTCTTCTTCATCTGACAAACCAATAGTGGGCTCATCTGTGGCTCCAGCCCTTAAGGATCCATCCTCAGGTCCTGCAAAAGTTGTTGTGTAGAGTAGCCCAGGGCTTGGGTATCTGAGGTGAGGACGTAGAGGATGAGGCTGAACTGATAGCATATTAGCGCCCTCATGTCCACGCAGAATCACTCTGTCACTTATTAGACAGCTGCAGATTGCCACAAGGTCTTTGTCATAACTCCACCATCATTGCTGTCTACTGCCAAATGAAATAACACCCTGCAAAGGGTTTGAGGTTTACATTCACTCACAACTGGACTCCCTGATGGTAGATGTGGCCAATCAAAGGAAGAGACTAGGTTTGTTGGGGGCAGGTGAACAAAGCCCACAGGTAAGTGCTGCATGTGCGGGACTGGGAGATGGGTTGGAAATGGGGGGGACTACGGCCTATAATGGGAAGGAGAAAGGAGGGTCAGGGCACAACAGGGAGGCAAGATCAAATCAGTATCTTAGATGCCTATATACAAATGCGAGAAGTATGGGTAATAAGCAGGAAGAACTGGAATTGCTAACCAATAAATACAACTATGATATCATTGGTATTACAGAAACCTGGTGGGATGGGACGCATGATTGGAATGTTGGTATGGAAGGGTACGGCTTGCTCAGGAAGGACAGACAGGGAAAAAAGGGAGGAGGGGTTGCCTTGTATATTAAAAATGTACACACTTGGACTGAAGTGGAGATGAATGTAGGAGATAGCTGTGTAGAGAGTCTCTGGGTTAAGCTAAAAGGGGTAAAAAACGAGGGTGATATCATGCTAGGAGTCTACTACAGGCCACCTAGCCAGGTGGAAGAGGTGGATGAGGCCTTTTTTAAACAATTAACAAAACTATCCAAAGCCCAAGATTTGGTGGTGATGGGGGTCTTCAACTATCCAGACATATGTTGGGATACTAACACAGCGAGGCACAGGCTATCCAATAAGTTTCTGGACTGCATTGGAGACAACTTTCTGTTTCAGAAGGTTGAAAAAGCTACCAGAGGAGAAGCTGTTCTGGATTTGGTTTTAACAAATAGGGAGGAACTAGTTGAGAACTTGAAAGTGGAAGACAGTATAGGGGACAGTGATCACGAAATAATAGAGTTCATGATCTTAAGGAAAGGTAGAAGGGAGACCAGCACAATTGAGGTAATGGATTTCAGGAAGGCAGATTTTGATAAGCTCAGAGAACTTGTAGGTAAGGTCCCATGGGAAGCAAGACTGAAGGGAAAAACAACTGAGGAGAGTTGGAAGTATTTCAAAGGGACGTTGTTAAGGGCCCAAAAGCAAACAATTCCGCTGTGTAGGAAAGATAGAAAATATGGCAAAAGACCAGCTTGGCTTAACAAGGAGATCTTGCACGATCTCAAAATAAAAAAGGAGTCATATAAAAAATGGAAACTAGGACAACTAACAAAGGAGGAATATAGGCAAGCAACACGGGAATGCAGGGGCAAGATTAGAAAGGCAAAGGCACAAAATGAGATCAAACTAGCTACAGGCATAAAGGGAAACAAGAAGACCTTTTATAAATACATTAAAAGCAAGAGGAAGACCAAGGACAGGGTAGGCCCACTACTTAGTGAGGAGGGAGAAGCAGTAACAGGGAACTTGGAAATGGCGGAGATGCTCAATGACTTCTTTGTTTCGGTCTTCACCGAGAAGTCTGGAGGTGTGCCTAACGTAGTGAATACAAGCAGAGAGAGGGTAAGT